CTGCCTCAGCCTCCCGAGTAGCTGGGATTACAGGCATGCGCCACCACACCCAGCTAATTTTTGTATTTTTAGTAGAGACAGGGTTTCACCATGTTAGCTAGGATGGGATTCCAGATTTTTTAATAGTATTTGTTAATGTTCGTGGGTATACTCCACATATATTTTTCATTTTTTACAATGCTGTTTCCTTTTTTATTATAAACATTATTTCATATATACATTCCATATGTACACATAACCAATATATTTAATATTTTATAGTTATTTAGTATTATACCATTGCTTAGGTTTGTTTCTGTGAAAGTCTATTTGTGGAAGAAACCTGAGTTTACTTGCTATCAGTCAAAAATGTGTAGCCCTTATCATAGAGAATTGAGGAGCAGGAGAAGAGAAAATGGAAGATGAAAATGCTTAGTGTTACTCTTATTAATTTGTGTGAAGAGGCTGAAATGTTTGAAGAATAACATTCACCCAATGCCTGGTGGGTTTTGAAGAATATTTAGATTTAATACCTTATAGAAAGCAACTTTCAAATGATATACCTAAGAATCACTTTTGAGCCAATCTGCTTAAAAATTAGTTGCTACCCAGGTCTTCCATAGCTTAATGGATTGAATATTCTCTCTCTCTCTCTCTCTCCCTCCCGCCCCTTCCCTTTCTCTCTCTCTCTCTCTCTCTCTGTCTCTCTCCCTCTCCTTCCCACCCCTGGTCCCCAGGTAACGCTAAAGATGCTCCTCTTGACAGTGGTCGTCAGCATGTACAAGAGCTTCTTTATCATAGTAGGCATGTTCCTCTTGCTGCTGTGTTACGCTTTTGCTGGAGTTGTTTTGTTTGGTACTGTGAAATATGGGGAGAACATTAACAGGTTGGTGTATGTTTATCTTTCTATTCATTTATCAAGCAAACCCTTTAGTAATAAAATTTTAAATAAACAAATGCTTTTTGTCTACTAAAGTCTAGGAGAGGGGAAGGGGAAGTAATCTGTTGGGAATTAAAATAGCCAAGTTTTAAATGATATTTTTCCAGTTGAAAAAGGTTATTCAACTGAAAAGGTCTAATTTCAAAACCTTAGAAAATTTAGAAATAAAAGAAAACAAAAAGAATCCATAATTCCACCAACATTCAGTAATCATCACTCCCAATTCCAGCACTTTTTCTATCTACATATTGCCAAAAAATGATATACTATTTTTAGTTGGAACAATTTTAAGATAACTTTGGGTTTCTTTCTCAGGAAAATATGGGAAGTAAGAGCCCCCCAAATGGTTGTAATATATGAAAAGCAGTTTTCAATGATTTGCCTAAGTTTTAAGGATGCATCTCATTGTTTTTTTTTTTTTTAAAGTCCTGATACAACAAAGTATATACCAATATGTCTGGTTGTAGGAATTAGCTACATGGCTGCCCCACCTTTTATAGCATCCTCCAAGTGAAAGAAGGAATCACTTAGTTGCCAAAGCCTGCCTACTTAGTCATTCAAGATGAATGGCAATAAATTAGTGGTCATGCCAGAGTTGGGTGTTCAGACAGCTATATTTGGAGGCAAGTATAAATGACAAACTAATAAAAAGGTATAACCTTTGGAAAAGGTAACTTAGCAACCAAATTTACTACAACCTCCACTTGTTTTGGTGGTGGCAAACTATGCTATTTCATGACAAACCCTTCTATTCACATTCTGTTAATTTTTTTTTCTTAAATTAGGCATGCAAACTTTTCTTCGGCTGGCAAAGCTATTACCGTACTGTTCCGAATTGTCACAGGTGAAGACTGGAACAAGATTATGCATGACTGTATGGTAAATATCTCTCACCATGAACAAAACTTAGACTTAGAATCAGCATGAAAGTCTTGCAACCCAATGTTGGCAGGATCATCCTTGTTAGCATCAAGACTTTGTGTATGAAATATAAATCCTGACACTTCAGTCCATAAAATTGCATTATTATACATTTCAATGCATGAATATTTAGGGCAAAATACTCAATTAACCCAACCTGAGCTATTGTAGTTCCATTCAACAAATATGCATTCTGTGGGTGTTGTTCTTTCCCTCCCATCTTTAATATTTTGGTAATCAAAGTCAAACAGGGAGCCCTTTAATTTAACATATTCAGTAGATAGTTCACTGCCCCTCAGCTATATGCTAGGTGCTAGGTCTTCAGCAACTCCAAGGCACACTCCAGGAGCTTACCTCAAGGGCTCTGAGCTACTCTTCCTTTATACTATAAAGTATACTTTATACTTCCTTCTTACTATACCTTGTCTTCCCCAAGCATCATCCTTCTGGTATCAGTTTAAATATCCATTCCTTCAGGTCTTTGCCTTCAGCTAAGACAGCCAGCTATATGTTCTTATGCTGCTCTATAGTTCTCCTTTGTAATAAGTATCACAGCTGTAGTGAATTATTGGCTTACATTCATTTATTTTATCTCTTTCTCACTATAGGACAGACCAATGCTATCTTATAAAAGTTCTGCAGTGGTGGAAATCTGCACTGTCTCATTCGGGGAGCCACTAGCCATATGTGGTTATGGGGCACTGAAAATACGACTAACACAACTGAGGAACTGACTTTTAGTTTTAATTTTATATTATTACATTTTAATTAACATAAATTTAAATTTACATCGCTGCATGGAGCTAGTGGTCACCATATTGGATTACACAGCATCCAACTGTCAGCAGGAAGAAGGGACTGGGCCTATGTCTTTCTTACCAGTCTCTCCCCAAACTTGGCACAAACCTAGCACAGAGTAGGAGCGCTAGGACTTCATGCATGAATTAACAAGGAGAATTTGCCAAATCAAATAGAACACAACGCAAAATTTAACGAATCTTAAATAAAAATACAAGCAGAATGCTGGGATTAAAGAAGAAAGAGCTAGTTTCTCTGGCTGAGAAAAACCAGAAAGTGCTGTCAGAGGCATTGGCATTTTATTGAGCCTGTAAACAATGAGAGAGTTTTTGATGACTTAAGTCTTGTGCTATTCCATAGCATCCCATGACAGTGTTCCAGGAATGGGGCTCACTCCTTACACAATTTGAACGTGAATTTGCTATGTACAGGCACACCTTGTTTTACTATGCTTCACTTATTGCCTTTTGCAGACTTTGCATTTTTACAAAGTCTTGTGTAAAAGACTTTATGGCAATCTTGTGTTGAGCAGATCTATCAGGGCCATTTTTCTAATAGCATGTGTTTGCTCACTTTCTGGTTCTTTATCACATTTTGGTAATTCTCACTAGTTCAGACTTTTTCATTATTATTATATCTGTTTTGGTGATCTGTGATCAATGATCTTTTGATGTTTCTTTTGTAATTGTTTTGAGGGGTGCCATGAATCATGCTCAATAAGATGGAGAATTTAATTGATAAATGTCATATGTCTTCTAACTGCTGCACCAAAGAGCTGTTTCTCCAACGCTTCTCTCTTTTCTTGGGCCTCCCTATGTCCTGAGACACAACAATATTGAAATTAGGCCGATTAATAACCCTACAATGGCCTATAAGTGTTCAAGTGAAAAGAAGATTCACACATCTCTCACTTTAAATCAAAAGCTAGAAATGATTAAGCTTACAGAGAATGGCATGTCAAAAGCCAAGTTAGCCCAAAAGCTAGGTCCCTTGCACCAAATAGTTACTCAAGTTGTTAATTCAAAGGAAAAGTTCTTGAAGGGAATTAAAATGCTACTCCAGTGAACACATGACTGATAAGAAATAGCCTTATTGCTGATATGGAGAAAGTTTTACCGGTCTGAATAGAAGATCAGACTAGCCACAACATGCCCTTAAGCTAAAGCCAAATGCAGAAGAAGGCCCTTACTCTCTTCAGATTTATGAAGGGTGAGAGAGGTGAGAATGCTGCAGAAAAAAATATTCGATGCTAGCAAAGGTTGGTTCATGATGTTTAAGGAAAGAAAGAAGCCATCTCCATAATATAAAAGTGTAAGTGCTGCTGATGTAAAAGCTGTGGCAAGTTATCTAGAAGATGTAGCTAAAATAATTAATTAAGGTGGCTTCACTAAACAATGGATTTTCAATGTAGACAAAACATCCTTCTATTGGAAGAAGATGCCCTCTAGAACTTTCATAGCTAGAAAGGAGAGGTCAATGCCTGGCTTCAAAGCTTCAAATGACAGACTGACTCTGTTGTTAGGGACTAATGCAGCTGGTAACTTTCAGTGGAAGCTAATGCTCATTTACCATTCCAGAAATCCTAGGTCCCTGCTATGGTTTGACTGTGTCCCCACCCAAATCTCATCTTGAATTGTAGTTCCCTTAATCTCCCTGTGTCATGGGAGGGACCAGGCAGAGATAATTAAATCATGGGGGTGGTTTCTTCCATCCTGTTCTTGTGATACTGAGTGAGTTCTCACTATAGCTGTCATGAGATCTGATGGTTTGATAAGGGGCTTTCCCCCGATTTGCTTGGCACTTCTTGCTGCCACCATGTGAAGAAGGACATGTTTGCTTCCCCTTCCGCCATGATTGTAAGTCTCCTGAGGCCTCCCCATCCCTGCTGAACTGTGAGTCAATTAAAGCTCTTTTCTTTATAAATTACCCAGTCTCAGGTATGTCTTTATTAGCAGCGTGATAATGGACTAATACAGTCTCTTAAGAATTACGCTAAATTTACCCTGCCTGTGCTCTATAAATGAAACAACAAAGCCTGGATGACAGAACAGCTGTTTACAGCATGGTTTTCTGGATATTCAAGCCCACTCTTGAGACCTACTGCTCAGGAAAGAAAAGATTCCTTTCAAAGTAGTACTGCTCATTAACAATGCATCTACCTGGTCAACCAAGAGCTGTACCAGGAGATGTATAAGGAGATTAATGTTGTTTTCATGCCTGCTAACACAACATCCATTCTGTCCATGGCTCAAAGAGTCATTTCAACATTCAAGTCTTACTATTTCAGAAATAGATTTCATAAGGTGAATAGCTGCGATAGATAGTGATTCCTCTGATGAATCTGGGCAAAGTACATTGAAAAACCTCTAGAAAGGATTCACTATTCTAGATGCCATTAGGAACATTCATGATTCATGGAAGGAGGTCAAAATATCATCAGCATTAACAGGAATTTGGAAGAAGTTGATTCCAGTCATTATGGATGACTTTGAGGGGTTCAAGACTTCAGTGAAGGAAGTCACTTTACATGTGGTTGGTAGACATAGCAAGAGAACTAGAATTAGAAATGGAACCTGAAGATGTGACCAAATTGCCACAGTCTCCTGATCAAACTTGAAGGAATGAAGATTCCTCCTTATGGATGATTAGAGTGGTTTCTTGAAATGGAATCTACTCTTGCAGAAGGTGCTATGAACGTAGTCATAATGACAACAAAGGATTTATAATGTTACATAAAATTACTCAATAAACCAGCAGCAGGGTCTGAGAGGATTGACTCCAAATTCGAAAGAAGTTCTATTGTGGGTAAAATGCCAGCAAACAGCAACATATGCTGCAGAAAAATCTTTCATGAAAGGAAGAGTCAGTTGATACGATAAACCTCCATGTTGTCTTGTTTTAAGAAATTGCCACAGCCACCCCAGCCGTCAGCAGCCACCACACTGCTCAGTCAGCAGCTGTCAACATTGAGGCAAGACCCTCCACCACCAGCAGAAGATTACAACTCACTGAAGGTTCAGATGATCGTTAGCTTTTCTTAGCAATAAAAATACTTTTTATTAAGGTCCGTACCTTTTTGGACATAATGCCATTGTGCACTTAATAAGCCACAGTATGGTATAAACATGACTTGCATATGCACTAGGAAACCAAAACATGCGTGGGACTTGTTTTATTGCAGTATTCACTTGATCACAGCAGGCTGGAACTGAAACTGCAATGTCTCCAGGGTATACCTGTAGAGTGTATATTCCCAAATCTTAACCCGTTACTTCAGTCAGAGAAAAACTTACAAATGTCTTTTTATTTGATTTTCTGCAGTTTGCATCACAGTGGCTACTTATCACTTGGGGCTGGTGGCAGAGGCAGAAAGAGTATCTAGTGGAGATCAGTTCATTTTCATTGTGCTTTTAAAAATGGCAGTAACCTTGGGATTCTACAAGATAACAGCATACAATAAGTGAAATATTCTTTACTTTTGCTATAGATGATGTACCCAATGTATGTGGCTTTTGAAAGCTTACTTTGAAGTTAATTATATTCTATATGTTTAGGAATCTATTCATTAACTATAGTCAGCTAAAAGAAATTTCTATTCTCTACTCTTATCCTCTCCTCCTTCTTCTGCCCCAATGCCCCAAAGGTTCAGCCTCCTTTTTGTACTCCAGATGAATTTACATACTGGGCAACAGACTGTGGAAACTATGCTGGGGCACTTATGTATTTCTGCTCATTTTATGTCATCATTGCCTACATCATGCTAAATCTGCTTGTAGGTAAGTGATGTTAGTTGAATACTTTTTACTCTTTAAACTCAGGTACTTAGATAATTATGTATGATTTTCAAGCAATTATCTTGGATTGCTTGAGGTGGGTGTTTCATGGCATTTTTAATTATAAATTGTTGTCTCTCAATCCAGAAGCTGAAAAGACCTTTGAAAGGCATGTAAATGACAGTTGACTGAAATTTTAAGAGTTGTACCATTTATTATGATCATTAATTTCAAAAGAGCTCTTCTCATGGACTGAGTTGAACAAATATCAGAGAGGACTGTCTAGCCTTGAAATATCACATTTATGTTTTTGAAAGGTACACCTTATTCACCCAGCCATGGGGCCACCCAGAACTCAATTTGACCTTTAAAAATGGCCCTGGAACTCTCAACTAAGAGTTAAAGCCAGCTGGCATGACTATCTCTATACACAGAATGTGTGTTTGTGCTTATGACCCTCATGCTTTGGAAAGGCAGGAGCTGCAGAAATAGCTTAGTCCAAGTGTAAACATGCCAATTTGGAAACCATACTAAAAGCACACTAAAAATCTGGCTTATGATGTAGGTGATAGAATCCATTATTAATAATGGATGTTTTACTCTTTCTGAAATATGACAGATTAGCATAATTGTCTAACTTCTGAATTTTTCTTTTTTTAAAAGCCATAATTGTTGAGAATTTCTCCTTGTTTTATTCCACTGAGGAGGACCAGCTTTTAAGTTACAACGATCTTCGCCACTTTCAAATCATATGGAACATGGTGGATGATAAAAGAGAGGTATGGGAGTGGGTTGTTGTTTCATGCCCCACCTCAAAGAGACTTACCAACATGTCTCAAACATTTAAATGGTTTTGAGGCTGACAAAGATTTCTTAAAATTAGCCAAAGTAGCTGCGGTTTGCTCTTCCTCTTCTTGTCATTGCTGTCATCAACCTCCACCTCCTTCCCTTCCTCCTATTCCTCCTCCTTCACCCCCTCCTCCTCCACCCCCTCCTCCTCCTCCACCCCTCCTCCTCATCCACCCCCTCCTCCTCATCCACCCCCTCCTCCTCCTCTTCCCCCTCCACCTCCTCCTTCTCCTCTACCTCTACCTCCTCCTCCCCCACCTCCTCTTTCTCCTCTACCTCTATCTCCTCCTCCACTTCCTCCTCCTCCTCTTCTCTCTTCCTCATCCTAGCAAACACTCAGGCACAGTTCTAGGCACTGAGGATATAGCAATGAACAAGATGGAACAGCTCCCGTACTCACAGAGTTTACATTCTAATAGGTGGAGACAAATAATAAAAAGTGAAATAATAATAGTATTAGTAGCAGTATTTCCAGAAGTTAAAACTATAGACAGTAGTTGGGGTTGGGCTGCACCGGCAAGAATGGCCATGAAGGTGGCCTGAGGGGTGCTGTGGGACATCATGTCTGAACAACACAAGGAAGGTTCTGCCAGAGTATTTGGAGGGAGATCTGGAAATAGTTCAAGAAGAGTTGATGAAGGGCACAAAGACCAAGGAGCCAGCATGGGCGTCACAAATGAGGGACCCCGTCAGTGCCCTCACCCCAATTTGATCCCTCTTCTTGGTACCCCCGCCCACCCAGGCTCCTGTCTCGAGGGCTTTCAAGATAGTGTGTGCCCTGCGTGCAGGGGATCTGAGCTCACTCTCAGCTCCTCAGGACCCACCTGTCTCTCCATAACTGTCACCCTGCTTTAATGTAATACACACATGAAGAACACACTGCCCTGCACACTGAGATGTCAGTAACTGGCAGGCAGTTGTGTTCACCAGTGTTCTGCCCAGCACGTTCATTCAAAGATCCAGCCAGGGGGGCATGGTGGTTTGTGTTGCGTGGGAGGTAGCAACACACCTTAGATTCTCAGTGTCTGGATCAGTTCTAACCAAGAAGAGGGCGGAGCTGGGGGCCTAATTCTCTTGTATATAGTTTTTCTAATCCTGAAGAAGACATGAAAAGGAGTTATGTCTTTTTTTTTTTTTCTTTTTGAGATGGAGTCCCACTCTGTCCCCAGGCTGGAGTGCAGTGGTACAATCTCGGCTAACTGCAACCTCTGCCTCCTGAGTTCGAGTGATTCTCCAGCCTCAGCCTCCCGAGTAGCTGGAACTATAGGCACGCACCACTGCATCTGGGTAATTTTTGTATTTTTAGTAGAGACCGGGTTTCACCATGTTGGCCAGGCTGATCTTGAACTCCTGACCTCAAGTGATCCACCTGCCTTGGCCTCCCAAAGTGCTGGGATTACAGGCATGATCCACCACAAGTTATCTTTTAAGGGCAGAAAAACTTGCAATAAACATTGAGACATTCCTAGCATCCAGATTGAGTGAAGAAGAGGATTACATGTCTGTGTCTTGTCCATTACCTTGTGTGAGTGCATTATGACCCACTCAGTGCATGCATTGGAGGCGGAGTCCATGAGACAGGCCACGTGAGCATCAGCCTGGTGAGGGCAAGAGCAGCATCCTGGGGGGCTGAGGGGGAGCTTCCCATGCCTCACTCCAAATGCTGCAATGTGGTGACATCCCAGAGAGAGAAATTTATCACTCAGTTTTCCATCCTCTGCTCTTCTCAGTGCACTTAATTCCACCAGGCTCCAAGGAGGTGACCAGCTTTCTTCACATCTGGTGCTAATTATGCTAGCTTTTGAGAAATAGCACCTTTTTTTTTTTTTTTTGAGAAACCCAAGTTTATCACTGAGGCCTGATGATGATTTGCTGCTGCTTGTGCTCTGCCACACAGGGGGTGATCCCCACATTCCGTGTCAAGTTCCTGCTGCGGCTGCTGCGTGGGAGGCTGGAGGTGGACCTGGACAAGGACAAGCTCCTGTTTAAGCACATGTGCTACGAAATGGAGAGGCTCCACAACGGTGGCGACGTCACCTTCCACGACGTCCTGAGGTACAAGGCAGGCTTTCACAGAGCTGAACCGGGGCCAGAAACTGCAGCCATCAGCCTTCAAGGCCTCTGCAGTGTGTTTCCAACCCAAATGCCACATCTGCTGTGGTCGTGAAGCAGGGTCACATGTCCCAGGTGCTAAGTGCCCTTTCCCGCTGTCCTCCAGTGATCATTTCCAAGTAGGTGCCTCACATGGGAGGGCTGGGCAGCCGTGCCCTGACGTCCCATAGGGGCCCCTGCCCACTGAGGTGCTCCCTGAGGGGAGAGGTTGAAGGGATCTGGGAGAGCATAGTCCCACCCCTTCCCTATGATGTGGGAACTGCCAGGAAGAGCTGAATGACTTGCTTGTGGTTACAGGGCTCTGGTAAAGCTGGGACTAACGTGCAGAGCGCCTCACTTGCACAGGTCTGATAAGAATTCGCCTGGCCTGCTCTGTGATGGTTGCCCCATTGGCTAAAACACCAGATTTTCCAGGCATTTCATGAGCACCCAGACAGGACAGAGGGTCAAATGGAGTCTCTGCCTTTTCTTCTCCCTGGGAGACTTCTGTATTTGTTTCCTTGGGCTACTGTAACTTGGTACCTTAAGCTGAGGGGCTTAAACAACAGAAAGGTATGGTCTTGAAGTCCTGGATGCTGGAAGTCCGAGATGGAGGTATTGTAGGGCTGGTTCCTTCTGAGGCCTGTGAGGGAGAATCTGGCCCAGCCTCTCCCCTGGCTGCTGGGGGTATGCTGCCAATGTTGGGCATTCCTTGGCTTGTGGGAGCATCAGCCTGGTCTCCATCTTCACATGGCATTCTGTGTGTGTGTGTGTGTGTGTGTGTATCTATGTTCAAATTCCTCCTTTTATAAGAACATCTGTCATATTACATTAGGAGTCCATCCTACTCCACTGTGATCTCATTTTAACTTAATTACTAATTACATCTGCAATATTCTTTTTCCAAATAACATTACATTCTGAGGTACTAGAGGTTAGGACTCCAACACATCTTTCTTTGGGAGGAAACATTTAACCCATAACAGCTTCTTCAGCAGGAGTCCATGGATAAAACAGAGGCCCATGGACTTGCAAAGGGAAACAATTACATCTTTATTTTCACTAGTCGGTCTTTGAAATGCGGCGTTCTCTTCCACGATGAATGTAGGCAACAAACCACAGTCACATTAGTAGTATCCGTGTCTTTGCTACCAGGAGAAATCATAGATATTTTCAGGTTACATAACTGACTGCCTTGGCTGACATCTTAAAATACCATTTATGCTCACCAGTGCTTCTGAGTTAGGGTAGTCATTTGAGCTCTGCTAGATGGTATTATTTAATGGAATAATAAAGAAGCACTTATGTTACTATATCACTGCCGTTTTAAAGTAATTTGAGAATTGTACTTTAATATAATTGGTTTCCTTTATAATACTGTGTATTTCATTCTGTGCATCTAAAGCATTATTTTAAGAAATGTCCCATAAGCTGCACTGCCACAGGGGCCCATGCCACAGAAAAAAATAACAGCGATTGACTAGCAGTAGCTCTTTTAATCACATAGCAGTACCTACCAGTAGTGTGTGGGGTGCTGTGTTGTGTCTCAAATTTCGGGAGAACTCAGGTGTACAGAAATATGCTTGTGGCCAGAAGCTAGAAAAAAAAAAAAAAGATCAGATCAGCACAGGAAGAATCTGGGAAAAGTTCTCACGAGTTATCAATTTCACCTCCCACTATTCAGTTCTTCCACCAACAAGCTAAAAAGCAGAAAATGGGATGGAGAAATGCATATGAATCACAAAGGATGTCATCTCTGTCAGAATGTTTCTGAGTCTTTCCTCCTAGTGACAAATTTTTTTAGGTTGACATGAGGCAGATAGGCATACTGTTGTCATTAATAGTTAACATTCAGCCTCTTTGGAACACACTGGTGTATCTAATAAAAATAGACCCAGGCAAAATCAATGGTGGGGCTGTTTCTCCCCTTCCTATTTATTCCCCTAGCCCAGTATATGATAAAAACAGTGAAGATAAAAGCAATGAAGCTTTGATGAGATTCTTGATGAGTCAGGGAAGAGAGGAAGAGAAAATTCATTTTGTTCCCTCTGTGGTGGGAAGAGATTCAGCAAAAGAAGAGAAGTCCAATGTACCAGTGCTCTCAAGAGCCTCCATGCTGTGCTTTGGGCTCTAGGGTGGAAATGAGCTCACAGAAGCGGGTAGCGCACAGGTGCACCAGGGTGCATAGGTCTGAACCATAACCTGGAATCCTGTGGCTACACCTGGGTGCATCACACTGCCAAGAGGGCCTGTCTTCTCCTGGGTGGTGGACTGCTCAGTCCAGGCATCCTGGGAGCTGCTTTACTGCCCCGTGACCCGCGATGCAAAACATCTGCTGTGTTGGCTTCATCTACCACTGCATGGGCCTGTTGTGTGTCAAGGGTTAAAAGGGAGTGGATATTCAACCCTGGGTTTGTTTTGTAGCCTCTAAAATTAATAAAGAAGGCCAGGGGTGGTGGCTCACACCTGTAGTCCCAGCTCTTTGGGAGGCTGAGGCAGGCGGATCATTTGAGGTCAGGAGTGTAAGACCAGCCTGACCAACATGGTGAAACCTTGTCTCTACTAAAAATACAAAATTAGTTGGGCATGGTGGCACATACCTGTAATCCCAGCTACTTGGGAGGCTGAGGCAGGAGAAATGCTTGAACCCAGGAGGCGGAGGTTGCAGCGAGCTGAGATCGCACCATTACACTCCAGCCTGGGCAACAAGAGTGAAGCTCCATCTCAAAAAAAAAAAAATAAGGAAGATACAGAAGGATGAATGAGATAAACAGAGAGGGAAATGGAATGCAGTGGGTAGGGAGGTGTGATGCACAGCCGAGCATATTAACCATCACCACGTGGGGTTAAGTGTGAAGAAAGTATTCGAGGCACAGTCTCCCTTCTGCAGAGAAAGTCCTGAGTCTTTACCTAGCCTGGATCTTTTGTTTTACAGGCACTTAGATGGCACTGCTATAAGAGCCTCACAGATATTAACTTACTTAGTCATTAAATAAAGGAGTTACTAGGACTATCTTTATTTTACAGACGAGGAAAGGGAGACAGAGAGAGGTGACAGGACCGGCCCAAGACACACGGGTGGTGAGGGGTGGCATCAAACGCTAGACTCGTTAGACGGAGTGATGTCCTCTCTGGATTTTGACATATCTAAAGGTGTAAATCTCAGGTAAATCAGAGCTGCGATTGCGGGTGTGTTCCCCCCACCAGCATGCTTTCATACCGGTCCGTGGACATCCGGAAGAGCTTGCAGCTGGAGGAGCTCCTGGCGAGGGAGCAGCTGGAGTACACCATAGAGGAGGAGGTGGCCAAGCAGACCATCCGCATGTGGCTCAAGAAGTGCCTGAAGCGCATCAGAGCTGTAAGTGAACTAACTGCACACGTGCAGGTTGGGTACCCGCCCTGCCCCGCCCGGAAGTAGGAGGACAAAAGAAAAGAGCTTCATGAACATGGGATTAGCTCCTTCTGTGATTGGCCTTCTATCCCTTTAAACTATGTCCACTACCTCCACTTACAGTGGTCAGATCTTGATGCAGACTTTCACTCTGGTCCACAGTCAGCCCTACCCTCTGTAGCAGAGTCCATTAGGAGTTTCCATGGAATCCCATTTTTATAATATGTCATGAAGACTTAAAAAGCAGTTTATTGGCCAGGCGCAGTGGCTCATACCTGTAATCCCAGTACTTTGGGAGGTCAAGTGGGGAGCTCAACTCACTTGAGGCCAGGAGTTGGAGACCAACCTGCCAACATGGTGAAATCCCATCTCTACTAAAAATACAAAAATTAACCGGGCATGGCACACATGCCTGTAATCCCTACTACTCAGGAGGCTGAGGCATGAGAATCACTTGAACCTAGGAGGTAGAAGTTGCAGTGAGCGGAGATCGTGCCACTGCACTCTAGCCTGGGTGACACAGTGAAACTCCGTCTCAAAAAAAAACATTTATTAATATTAAAATATGTCCATTTATTAAACTCCACTGTACAAAATTCTAGAATTTTCCACGTTGAATTTGCAAAACTACTTTAAATTGCTGCTAAAAATTTCAACAAACTGTGATAATGTTGTTTATTCTGAAAAGACCACCTCTCAAGATTAATGATGTTTCCTGCTTCCTGAGTTATAAGCCTATAAGATTGTCTAACTCATAAATTAATGAATGTATACTGCGTTGGCATATACTGTGTTTACAGTGAATGTTTCTATGAGATAATTACCTTTATGAATGCTTTTGGCATGTTTCACGGACGGGTAAAAAAACCCAAAGCAATCACTAAACATTTATATATAACAGCGATTGTTTCAATCCTCTTCCTCAGAGCAACAACATCAATTGCAGAAACATGTATTTCTATTGGAAGAGAAAAGATTCCTAGAAAAAAGATACAACTCAACTTCCTATAGCAAGGCCAGCTGCCCAGTGATGTCCCGTCACTGCTGGCCACTGTAGCTATGTTAGCTCCAGGGATCAATCTGTCCTCCTCTAGCTCTGAGAGGGCACAAGGAGCCCTGGCTTTTGTATATGCCAAGACAGATTGGTCTCCTGGATTGGCCTGGAAACTTCAGAACCAAGACAAGCACGAAGGTTTTCTCATCCACTCGAGGCACTTTGCCTCTTACAATTTGCAGGAAAGTGGGAAAGGGGTTGGGGTTGTATTGGCTTAATGAGCCTAGAATAAAATAAGAGGAGAAAAAAATAGAATAGCTACATTAGTAATTTTAAATAAGATACAAGCTGGCAGTGTCTCATGCCTGTAATCCCAGCACATCGGGAGACTGAGGCAGGAGGATCGCTTAAGACCAGAAGTTTGAGACTAGCTGGGGCAACAGAGTGAGACCTCCTCTCTGGGAAAAAAATAATTAATTAATTAGCCGGCCACAGTCATGCACACTTTTAGTCTCAGCTTCTCAGAAGGCTGAGGCAGGAGCATAGCTTGAGCCTAGGAGTTTAAGGTTACAGTGAGCTATAATAATCACACCACTGAACTCTAGTCTATGGGACATAGTAGACATAGATCCCATCTCAAAAAAAACAACAAAAAACAAAAAAACAGAAAACACCAACAACAAAAAACAAACATAAATAAAACACAAGCATCAATGACCGTCACTATTCCTATTGTTACACAAATGAAAATGGACTGAGAAGTCAACACATACCTCTCTAAGCCCACTTTTGCATCAGCCTACCTTAATTGAACGTTGAAATTAGTTCAGGATCTTTACCTGGAAATTCCTAAGAGGTCACCAATCATGCAGGTCTTAGGAGAGGGGAGAAGAAAATATGATTTGTGTGGCGGTGGGGCAGGCGCAATGCTGGGTTTATTTTACTAAACAAACAATCGCATTTCCATAGAAACAGCAGCAGTCATGCAGTATCATCCACAGCCTGAGAGAGAGTCAGCAGCAAGAGCTCAGCCGGTTTCTGAACCCGCCCAGCATCGAGACCACCCAGCCCAGTGAAGACACGAATGCCAACAGTCAGGACAACAGCATGCAACCCGAGGTATGGGCACGAGGCGTCCTCCATCCCAGGACACTCCGTGGGCTTCTTTCTTTTAATAAAAATAAATAAAATGGGTGCTGGTCACATCATTCAAACAAGGTGACAATATTTCTAATAGGAATATTTTCATTTTAAAAAAAAAGACAATGGAAATCCATTGATCCAGATTACGTCTGTGTCTTTGCCATCTTGGATGCAGTTGAGGTTATTTAAAAATATTCTGATTCATATGAATGCCAAAAAACAGTTAATGCCCTGAACTTTGTAATTCTGTAGTTTTATTTTTGTCTAAAGAGTGAACATCAGATCTAAGGGCTGCATTTTAATCTGGAAATATTACATGGAGTATGGTTTACATGAAACCCTGCCCTAAATGTTTTCCTGTCCTCACTAAAGTCATAGAAATTTGTGGTAGAATCAGTGAAAATGTTTGTAATTGGCTTTCAACCTCCTTAATCAGACTCATTAAAGATGTATCCTTTCTTGGTTGGGTATCAGAAGAACATATGGAATTCAGGACAGTTGGCTTGAGGAGTTTCTATTTATTAGGTCACGGCATATTTTCATTTTCAAACTCGATGTATGTGTCTATTTAAAAAAGTAGAGGGAGTTATCAGTGTCCTGGAGAGTCCTGTGCTGTGAGAAGCAGCTGCCTGGGAGGACCTGCCCCTTTATCAGGCAGCAGTTACAATTTGAGGTTAACAACGTGGAGCTGATCCTGTACTCTGTGCAGAGCCCCAAGAGCACCAGGCTCCGTGATGTGCAGCACTGCAGCCAGGGGCCGGGAATACCTTTGGAAGCCTAAGGCTCCATGGCCCAGCAGGGTGCTCCAGGAGGCCCACTGGTGCCATAGCCCAGTTTTCAGTAGATTTCATGTTTTGGGCTCCCCAGCCTTTAGAAATTATCTGCCACCGACTGCAGGGATTTCTGTGGAGTTAGTCAACCAAGGGGCAAGGTGAGGCATCTACAGTGGCCTTGCCACTGGTCACCCTGAAGATGGTTGGCAATGTCTCGCATGGGGGAGGGAGGCAGGCTGAGGTCAGGAAAGACAGTGAGACAGGGCCAATGAGGCCGGGGAAAGTGACGATTGTAGAGGCCTCTGTTTTTAGATGAAAAAGCCTAAGAGGTGACACACACACACACAAAAAATATCCAAGAGGGGATATCAAAGAGATGTGAAGACCAAGGCTTTTAGAAAAGGGAGAGCTGACAGGTGAACCCGAGAACAGGTGAAATGTGTGGGAAGTCTTGGCATCTCTCTTTGACTTTAGCTTAGATTGTTACCGGCTCCATCCTCCGCCAGGGCCCATCATACAGCTTTGCCTGAAGAGAACTCTTTCCCTGAGGCTCTAAGTGTGGATCTCCAGGCTGGTGAAAGTAGACTGCCCCCATCCAGCCGGTCCCCACGGCCCCACCTTCCTTCCTTCAGTGTCCCGTCCTTGCCCCTTGATTTGCCAGCAAAGATATGAAGGGAAACAATGACATTCTCAGGCACGGAGGGGACTGAGGCAGTGGGGGTTTCCTGGGAAGAGCGGTGTCCCCTTCAGCACGACGTGCAGTGGTGGCTCTTTTGCTTCTGTGACCCTTTATACCCATGTTCCCTTTTCCCCATTATGGACATTCTGAGTCCATGTTGTTCTTCCCGCTTGTCCTCCTGCCATGTGTTTTCCTTTCTTATAGTAAAAGGAGGAGAGCACAGGGTTGAGAAAGACAGTAACTGCATGCTTCTCCTCCCATGCAGACAAGCAGCCAGCAGCAGCTCCTGAGCCCCACACTGTCAGATCGAGGAGGAAGTCGGCAAGATGCCGCTGACGCAGGGAAACCCCAGAGGAAGTTTGGGCAGTGGCGTCTGCCCTCAGGTAGGTACATCCAGGCATTTCTCCAGCGATCGAGGCATTTGAGAGGTGTTTACTCTGTTTGTGTGTTTTGGGTCTTGCCTTTCAAAATGCACGTCTGCATCTACAGTTGTTTACAGACAGCAACATAATGAAAAATGTAGTCTTGTCAAAAACACTGCCCCCAAAAATAACTTCTCTAAATATGACTTACATTAGCCCCCATTTTCTGGGTACATTTCAGGCTATCGTGGTTGAGAAGCCAGCACCTATGAAAAAGCCAAGATTCAGAAAGAGGGAGAGATTTCCAAGGGCTTTCTGTGTGCCTCAAGGCATGCTCAAACATGGGCAAAATGTATTTAATTGAAGAGGGAGTGGGCAGATGCACTCATTCAGAAAATGCCACCAAGTTCTCCAAAAAGGGACAGGCCCCCTATTTGTCTCAGAACACTTTGCAGCTGAGCTGGTCACTGGCTTTAGGCAAGCTGCTTTACCTCCGTACAGTAACAAAACAACAAAAAACATGTGGTACTCACTGTATGCCAGTCACTCTCCTAAGTGCATCACTTGTGTTCTCTCATTCAGTCCTTTCCTTTAATAAACCCATTATTTTCCATATTTTACTGATTCAGTCAGAGAATTTTCTTCTGTGGGCTTCTTCTGTATAGGGTTTTGGACAGCCAGGATAATCCCATTAAAAGCACTCAGGAATGGAGGGAGAGCAATGCTCCCCACAGCCCAGTGTCCTTGTACGTGTTTTTCTCTATAGATAACTAACTTCATGCTAAAGCAGGAGCTTTATAATGATCTTTAGCTGTGCCCCAACGTCAGCCCAATCGAAGTTAGATGTGTAGCATATGTGTTCCACAAAGCAGATGACAGCACAGCTTACATTTTGAGGCTGACGATGTTCCGTGGATCTTCACTGGGACTACCACCAAGGAAAGTATCCCCTTTCATATTCAAGAATTTATTTTTCAGAGATCAGAGAAGATGTAGGTTCTTCCTGATTCAAACACAGCAGAGAATGACAGCATCAAGACAAAGCAGATGGTGGTACCAGGTCACAAAAAGCCTTCAACTACAAGCTGACTAGGTTCAATTTTATCCTGGAGGCAATTAGGAGCTAGCAAAGATCTCTGAGCCGTATGTGATTTTTGGAATCTATGCTTTAGGAGGTTGACTTGGCACCAAAGGACAAATTGTCCACAGCAGAGCCTGGAGGCAGGTTACAAGCTGGAGGAAGTTACCACTGTGTGAGCATGAGGCAACAAGGGCATGGACAGAGCTGGGGGCCAGATGCTGCAGGGACAGATAGGAGAGGTGACCTGGGGAGAATGCACAGTCCTTGGTATTCATTTAAATGGACAAAAGAAATGATGCTGTCAAAAGTACTTCCATTGGGCCGGGCGCAGTGGTTCACCCCTGTGATCCCAGCACTTTGGGAGGCCGAGGCAGGTGGATCATTTGAGGTCTGGAGTTCAAGACCAGCCTGGCCAACATAGGGAAACCCTGTCTCTACTAAAAATACAAAAATTAGCTGACCGGTAGCGGTGCGTACCTGTAATCCTAGCTACTTGGGAGGCTGAGGCAGGAGAAACGCTTGAGCCTGGGAGGCAGAGGTTGTGGTGAACCAAGATTGTGCCACTGCACTCCAGTCTGGGTGAGAGAGAGAGAGAGAACCTGTCTCAAAAAAAACAAAAAACAAAAAAAACAAAAAAACAAAACTTCCAGTGGTCCATGCCTAGGTGGTCCCCACCAAAAACTGTGATCGTGAAATAGACATGCTCTTGGGGTCAGGCTGAGTTTGGGGAGGCAGAGGGGAAGAAAAATAGTATTTTGAAGGGGCAGCAACAATGTCACCAGGTGTCATGCTATGCACTTTCTTAAGTCATCTCATGTAACCTGTTTTAATCCTGACAATAGTGTAATTAGGACATTTTCATTGTCTTCATCTTACAATGGAGGAAACTTGGATTCAGAGAGATGAAGTTGCCCATAGCTCTACATATCCACAGGTTACAGAGGTGGGTCCCAAGACCATGACTGTGAGGCCCCAGAACCACACCTTTCCTCCCGTGCCCTCACTGCATCCCTCCTCGCCTTTACTGTGGGTCACACTCTCCTTCCTTTTTGTTTTTTTCTTTATTGCGTATGCTAATGAATGCACAGGTTTCTATGACACTTAATAGTTCCCAAATTGGAATTTTTAGCCATTTTCTAGTTTTTGTAATTATTTCAAAATGAAAGGGGTGAACAGCACTTTCTTTTTCCTCCAAGTGGCATCATGAGTTGTCCATGAGCATAATTTAAAAAAAAAAAAAATCGTGAACATAAAGAATCAAGTCCTGAAAAGGATGTTTACTTAGCATCTGTGGATAGAACATATTAGCCAAAAGTATCACTGATGGGAATATCATGGGTTTTTAGGAATGAGTACAATAGGGCGGAGCACTACCAAGTGGCTCATAGGACTCATTAATTCCACAGCACCAAAACCAATAAGCCATTCAGTGTCCTCAGTCAACTTACGGTTTGGAGGGAGGACAACCATGAAATCTGTCGTGTGCAAAATGAACCCCATGACTGACGCGGCTTCCTGCGGTTCTGAAGTTAAGAAGTGGTGGACCCGGCAGCTGACTGTGGAGAGCGACGAAAGTGGGGATGACCTTCTGGATATTTAGGTGGATGTCCATGTGGATGAATTTCTAGTGGTGAAAACTGTTTTCTAGTAATTTCCTTGATTGTCCAGTGAGCAATCTGTAATTGATCTATAGCTGAATTCCAACTTGTCACAAGATTTTTATAAATTGATGTTCATCCTGCCGCAGAAAGGCATAAGCTGCATGTATGATAGGTCACTATCATTGCTCAAAAAAATTTTGTATACTGACTGTACTGATAATATTAGAAACGATACAGCAAGCAAATGTATATCACTCAAAACTGTCATATATTCTGTCTGTGTAAACTAAGGTATATATTCATATGTGCTCTAATGCAGTATTATCACCACCCCCCAAAAGAGTGCTAAGCCCAAAGTGGCTGATATTTAGGGTACAGGGGTTATAGCTTTAGTTCACATCTTTCCCATTTCTGCTAGAAATATTTCTCTTGAGAGAATTTATTATTTATGATTGATCTGAAAAGGTCAGCACTAAACTTATGCTAAAATGATAGTAGTTTTACAAACTACAGATTCTTCTTTTTCTCACGTTATATTTTAAAATATACACAAGACATTTGGCGACCAGAACAAGTTGATTTCTCTCCTCAGTTATGCTAATGAAACTATTGCCTCCTCCTGAGAAAACTGCGTATGCAAGCACCAGGCAAAGAAATGGACTCAGGATGCTTACTGGTTTATAACAAACCTGTAGATAGATCACCTGAGTGACACAGTTGTGCAAAGATGTTAAGTTTCTTAAGCAGCCTTTTAATAATTGAGTTTAGCAAAAAGAATAAAACTGTATAGCTCAATTTATTTTTAAAAAATCTTTGCATGTGTGATGTTATTGTTGGTTTCATTTCTTACCCAAGGTATGTCTGTTTTGCCACAAATCAGCTGAGTCATTTCATTATGGGTTGCTCCTAACACACCATTGCTATGTTACATTTGAAATGACATCTCTGTTACCAGAATCTCCTATGGAAATAATGGTGTCCTGCAAAATCTTCCTCTGAACTCACAGGTTAGGGATCACACAACTTAATCATTTTTCGTTTTTGTTTTTTTGGTTTTTTTTTTTCCTTATATGTCGGTGGCCCATGTCCTCTGGGAAAATTAGAAAAGCCAAAGTGCTGTTAGATTTCTTGTGCTGGGTTGGCCAAGTAGAAGTGGACTCAGACCTTCAACTATTTTATTACAGATTGGACATTTGCTGTTCAGATGTGTTTTAGCAGAGGGATTATCTCAGAACCCTCTGACCTCCAGGTTGCTTTATGATCTATTTTTCTCTATTTAACATTCCTCAGACAGGCAAATAGCACATTCCTTCTGTGTCACAGATGTGTCATGGTGATGGCAGGCTACAGTTTATATGATTCATTGTAACTATGAGATAAAGAACAACCAGTCCGTGTGGCCAAAAGGATTAGATTTGATTTGATGTTCACTTGGAGTTTACTTTTTGTACATACAAGATAAAATAAATATTGGATTTGTAAAATAATTTACGCTGAGTTGACCATTTTTAAACCCTTTTCTTGGCGGGGCAGGCACTCGGTAGCAGCACATTGCAAACCCTGGATTGAACATTCAGTCCATAATTAGTTGGCAAAAGCTGTGTCCCTGATATCCATTTCAGCTCAGTTCTCTGAGCCAGAATGTTCCTTTTACATTTGTGCTGATAAGGCTGAGTGAATACCCTGCGCCTTCCAAGCCTCCAATGAACGGAAAAGGCATTTACAGGTCCAGGGCATGGGTCTGTACTAGTGCTGCATAAAAACAAGATGTTTTTGGCTCATTACACTTGAGAAATACAGCTTCATTCTCACGAAACTGCTGAGCCCTTCCTAAAACGTCTGGAATTGATGTTCAGCAGAACATCATTGTTGTTCATTCTGCAGTGAAGCCAGGGGCAGAATACCAATGTATTTAAAGCCATAGCACTCTATATTTTCAATGAAGCAAAACAGTCACACACTTCCTGTGGGGCTCCTCACCACAATTTTCCCGAAACAGAGCAGATGCAAGCCAGAGAAAGTAAGTGCCACCCCCTTTTAGATTTTACCCCTAGATACGCAAACATATGAACAATCCCGTTACACAGATGGGAAAACTTGGGCCACAGTGTTCCCTGGTCCTTAGGGAAGCCAGACACTGATACTAATCCTGTCATCACACCACCCACTGCCTTTAATTAGAGGACGCTGTCGGTTCCAAAGGCACCAGAAAGCGTATGGGGTGGAATACTTGACTCAGAGCCCCTGAGAGAGCAAGCCACACACGTGTGGCCCTTATGGCAATTCAAGGGGATTCAAAGGGAACAAGGATGGACAGAATGGAAGGGCTGATGCTATTCACTCTATTCTTAATGGTGCTTCCAGATCAACATCCATCAGCTGGCTGTGCCTTGGCCAAGATGATGAGATAAGGGCACGTAGAACTAAAACCAGCATTATAAAGCCTTACAGGAAAGCAGCTTTAAGCCAGTGGAATGATGTGTTTTGTGTTTGCCTGTTTCTTTGTAGGAAGTGGCATTCTATACATGAGTGATTTTCAATATATTGGTAAGCAGTGGAACTGTTTCTCAAAGTCCTTCAACAGATCCCAAAATTTTAACCAGCCAAAAGCCAGGCAGCCCTGGTTGAAGTTGAGGTGAAGATGAAAACGCCACTCATATGGTCTCTTCTCACCTACTATTACGGGTCCCCATGATATAAGGTAATTGTTAAATCTGCCATAGGAAGGTGGAGTGCTGATCAGAGGAGGCTTTTGGAGTGGTGGTGCCATTTGAATTAAGTATTAAAGAAAGAATAATTGGATTTAAATTGTCATAGATGGGGAAGCAGCAGACAGAATGATGCCTGGAATAATAAAAGGAAGATTATCAAGGAGAGCGTCAGTTGACTCTATTCAATGAATTCCAAATCTTCTGAACAGGTGTGCAAAGGCAAGACTGGAGACTTGGTCAAGGGCACGAAGAACCTTGAATGCCCTACACTTCATGTGGACAGTGCTCAGTAGAAAAGGGGAGTCTGTAGAGGTGGGGAGGGAGGAAGATTATAGTAATAATGCAAGACACAGGCTTTAGGAGGAGCACACCGGGAGCAATGTGCAAAATAGAATTGAGGAGGGAGAGACAGATGCAGGGTGAATGTTTACAATACCCCAGCTCTCCAAGAGAACTGTGGTTCTAGTTCTCCAACCTCGAAGTTGAACTTCTATAGCAGCACAGGACATGGAAGGAGGATGGAGATGTGACAGGGACTTACTGAGATGAAAGGGGCCGCAGGACCCCACCACACCGGGCTTATTCATCTTGCACCAATGACTTGCTCTTCCAAACAACACTGCCCTCTGTTCATCTTTTCTTCAACCAGTACCCACAGAAACACCCTGACCATTTTCTGGACCTAATTCCAGAGGACCCTTTCTTTGTTAGCTTTCTCCCACAGGCCTTATAACTTTTATTTAACTTACCTTTTTTGTTTGACTCAGTTCCCTGGATCACTTGTTAATCTTTTCCATTATAATTGCTTGGGGGTACTACTCCTGGGTCTTGCAAGCTGAATGGAATTTACAAGTTGGGAGTTTACTAGGTGGAGTTTTATAGTTGATGGGAGAGGGATGACGCCTCCAGACTCACCTTCTCTTTACAGCTATCCCCCTATGGAACACCCCTTCTCTCTTTGACTTTAGGATTGCATTTTGAGATATGGGCATCAAACTGCTCAGATTTTATTGCGGGGATGGGATGAAGAAGAAGAATAGAGGTGTTGAAAGAAGAGAATTAACTAAGGCAAAAAGAAACAAAAGTTACCTAGAAAGACACACATTCTCCCTTTATCTACTGACCACAGTGGTCTGGAATGAGGACTTATCATAAATAATGACAATTAATTTTTCCTGGACAGAATTATGGTCCATCACCATTGACACCTATTCACTCCCTATCTCTGACCTAGCTGGTTCCAGGTCTCGCAATATCTTTTCCATATCATCTAAGCACCTCAATAGTCCCCAGACTTCTCTCCAACCATGCTCAAGGTCATGGCTTCCTATTAAAAAAACAATTCTGTAGGCAGAAAAGTGCTTTCAGTCTGTCTCCTTCTCTCCAATGTGAACCACTCTATATGCCCTCCTTCCTCCTTGGCTTCAAACACAGATGCTCCCTCTCTTCCAACCCTTTCCAACAGAGCTTTCATCTGTGCCAACTCTCATTTCTGATACCCTATCTTCTTATTGCACCCCCTACATTCCTGAACAGAAGTCACACCCAGCCTGAACATGCTGCACGCTTCCTCATTCCTGGGACATTCTTCTTCCATTGGGACAGAGCTCAGCAATGTCCAGTGCAGATTCAGTACAAAAGTTACACCAGAGAGATCTCCATTCCTATGATGATCCTCTGAGAATTCAATTCACAGACGGAAAAACAAACAAAGTAGCTTTCCAAAAGATAGGTTATTCTCTAATTAGGAAGAGCTGTCTGAACTCTGCCTATAGTAATTTATCAATGGAAAGTCTAAATAACACAAGACACGCTGTAATTGCCTGAGATCGGCTATTGTCCGATGAATGAATCAGCAGGTAGTTCACTTACTTACTCATCCATTCAAGATTGGGGCAGTCACGCTTCTTGCTCTGTGAGTCTACAGATGGATGCTCTAATCTCACGGTGCTCATGGTCTGTTAGGGAAGCAGAAAATAAACAGGTAAATATATAAGTCAGAAGGTTTTAAGTGCAATGGAGAAAAGTTAACTTGACTCAGAAGGACAGGCCTTCCTCTTGGATGTAATTTACTATTAAAGGACTCACTGCTCAGTTGCCATTTTGGCAGAGACCTGAGGCGGTGAGCATGGCAGCCATGGGGATTAAATTAAATTAAATTAAATGATAACTTCCCATTCCTTCCTTCTGCAAGGTTCGGACCTTCTAATCTACATTCTGTCTCTATGGATTTACCTGTTCTAAATATTTACCATAAGAGAAGCATACAATATTTGTCCTTTTGTGACTGTTTTACTTCACGGAGCACAGTGTTCTCAATGTTCATCCATGTGGTAGCGTGCGTCCATACTTTACTCCTTTTCATGGCTGGGTAATATTCCACTGAAAGTGCACACTACGTTTTGTCCATCCACTCATCTGCTGATGGACATTTGGTCGTTTCTCCCTCAGCTTTTGAGTGGAGGCCACATGCTTCCTGGATAATCCTCAGCCAGTGATGGAGCACAATAATAAAAGGGCTTGCCATTTTCCAGGCAGCGTGGGACTCTTCCACAGGCAATCTCTGCGGCAAAAGCTCCCTGCTGGGCTGACTGACACTTTCTCAATGCAGTACGCATGGAAATCTGAGGCTCTTCATCCAATCCTCCTATCCCCTCCTCTCCCTGCAAGGATGTCAGACCTGCACTATGGTCTGAAGGCCCACCCTGCCCACTCCTGTCCCTTCTCCTCTTTATCTTTCACAGGCCTTACCCCTGATAAATCTCCAGCTTTCCTAACACTGCCTTGGAGTCTGTTTCCCAGAGGACTCAGCCAACTTAGTGAGAGAGTGGGCCATGGAAAGGCCTCGGGCAAGGGTGTGCTGGCAGAGGAAACATGAGGTGTCAAGGCCTTCAAGTGGATGTAGGTTTGGTCAGTTGGAGAAAATAGCAAGGAGGCCATACTGACTTGGAGTCCAAATACTAAAAGGGAAAGAGGGATGACATGAAGTCAGAGATGTCACAGGAATCATATCATTCAATACTTCCTAGCTGTGGTAATCCCTCACTATTCCTATTTCCTAGTAATTCAATGAAATATTAACCTGGGTACTGCTGTGATGAAATTTGGCAGATGTAATTAAGATAGCAGACCTTAAACCAGGGCGTGGAACCCACTAAAATTAGAGAAATGGCTCTGGCTGGAGTGAGAGAAATGTGGCTGGAGTTAGAAGAGTAAGGAGGAAAGATCTAAAGCAAAAGACGGACCTGGACCCTACCTGCTGTGGGTGGAGGGGCCACCTGGAAAGATTGAGGGATGCAAGCAGCATCTAGGAGCAAAGGCCGCCTTGGGCTGACTGCCAGAAAGGGAATGGAGATCTCATTGCTACAACCATGGGAATTGAATTCAGCGAATAACCTCAATGAACAAAGACACACATCCATCTCCAAAATTTTTGAAAGGGAATACAGCCTTGTTAGCCCCTTGGTGTCAATCTGATGACACTCAGGGCAGATAAAACAGCTAAGCCTACAGGACTCTGACCTGCAGAACTGTGAGTTAATAAATGGGTGTTGTTTTCAGCTGCTAAGATGGAGACAATTAATTATGGCAGCAATAGAAAACTAATACAAGAGAGTTGGCAAGATGGCTGAATAGGAACAGCTTCAGTCTGCATCTCCCAGCGATACCAATGCAGAAGGTGGGTGATTTCTGCATTTCCAACTGAGGTATCTGGTTTATCTCATGGGGACTGGTTAGACAGTGGGTGCAGCCCATGGAGGGGGAGCAGAAGCAGG